TTTTTTTTTAATGGACGTACAGATCAACTTGACATTGAAACTAGAGGATTCCCAATAGCCAACAGCTGCCTTTGGGATCCTGATGGAGAACTGATAAACACTATGGTCTCCCTGTGCCCTAAACTGCAAAGCAAGCCAGGGCTGCGTGATATGATGAAATATGCCGGATGACGAAATTAAAACATCTATTGTTAAAGGACCAGTTAAAAAAAAACAAGTCGAGGACCTTATTCCTAAATGAGTGGCTACCTATGTAGCTTGGACATGGTTTGGTTATAAAAAGTCTGACATGGACCAGAAAACTATACTACGTAAATTATGCAGGAAACCATGGACTCAAACACGACAAACCTTTTCTACCACCTACAGAAGAATCACGTGAAACTGAATGGAGAGAGTTTACGGATGAGAAGCAAAAAGGAGTCATCGGGTGCTCAAAATAAAAAACCTTAGACTCAAATGATAGAATAGGCTTTTCCCCGCAGCAAGCCATGTAATAAATACTCACAAAGAAAATGGCAGCCGTTACAACTTATATCTAAAAATATAATTATTTTCTTGCATTGGTCAAAACACTCAACTCCAGGTACAAAATACCCAGCTGAAAACACTTCATATAAGTCAAGTTGCCCGAGATTCACAGAATTTACAGAAAATGCACCATTTTGTGATATACAGGGCTGTGCAATATGACCACAATCTCATATCAAATAGTGCATTTTCTGTAAATTCTGTGAATCCTTCACACTCGACTTGTGTGAAGTGTTTTCAGCTGGGTGTCGCTTGACAGAGGCATGAAGCTATACATTTTTAGATATACAAGTTGTAATGACCGTCATTTTCTTTGTATTTTTTACATGGTGTGCTGCAGGGAAAGGCCTGTTCCAACGTTTAAGGTTTATTTTGAGCACCTGAAGGCTCTTTTTTGCTTCTCAGCTGTAAACTCTCTCCATGCTCTTTCACATGATTCTTGCGTAGGTGGTAGAAGAGGTTTACCGTGTTTGAGTCTGTGGTGGGGACAGTTTGCGGCATAATTTGCATAGTACAGTTTTCTGAGAAATAAGAATAACGTATATCATTTCAGTTTATTTTGAAAAGTCTCAACAGGATCTTGAGGTTAATTGTGAAAGGCTTGTGTGGAAAATAAACAAGCGGATGGCGGAGCCACATGACGGTTTTGCCATCATTGTTGTTAATTAAAAGTAACCAGTAACTTGCTTTCGACTAATTAGATCTGGTGTTATAACCTGGTAAAAAGCAAACCACCTTATAAACACTGAAAATCCAGGATTAAATTGAAAGTTTCATAGTACAGGCAACATCCCTCTGTCAGGCAGAGTAAATTCTGATCTGTGCTAAGATTGCTCCAAGTTATCCTTACAGAAATCTAAAGCATAACATCAGAAACTAAAACTTTGACAGAGGGCAGTGCTGAGCTCTGATAACTATTGAATGATTGCACTTGTTAGAAACAGTGACTCCACTGTGATTCCAAAGTATAACATGCAATGTTCATAATGCATGATGCGAGATGACGCACAGTTACGCATTGTTGATGAATGTGACTAATGGTTTCAAATGCCTTTGTTTAATGAGTTTTTGACCTTAAGTAG